TTTTCTTTACAACAGGTTTTATGGTAGTTAAATTTCCCAGCTTTTGTTTATCTTGGAAAGTCTTTATCTCACCTTCATTTTCAAAGGACAGATTTGCCATGTATCGTACTTTGGGTTGGCAGGGTTTTTTTCTTTCAGTATTTTACTTATCCCACTCTCTCATGATCTGCAATTTTTCTACTGATAAATCCACTGTACGTTTATTAGGGTTCCCTTGTGTGTGATGAGTTGCTGTTCTTCTGCTGATTTCAAAACTTTCTTTGTCTTTGACTTTTGAGAGTTTGATTATAATATGTCTTGGACCTTTTGATGTCTAGCTTATTTGGGATCCTTTGGGAATCATGGATCTAGATGTTCAATTCCCTCCCCAGATTTGGGAAGTTTTTAATTATTTCTTTAAACAATCTTTCACTCTTATTCTCTGCTCCTTCTGGGACTTCAATAATGCATATATTGATTGGTTTAATGTTATCACATAAACCACCTAGGTCATCTTCACTCTTTTTTGGTCTTCTTTCTTTTTGTTCCTCTAACTGGGTAATATGAAATGGCTTGTCTTTGAATTTACTGATTCTTTCTCCTGCATGATCACTTCTGCTATTGAAGGTGTCTATTGAATTTTTCAGCTTAGTCATTGTATTCTTTAGCTCCAAGATTTTTGTTTTGGTTCTTTTTTATGTTTTCTATTTCTTTGTTAAACTTCTCATTTTGTTTATCTATTGTTTGTGGATTAATTTACTTGTCTGCTTTTTCTTATAGTTCATCGAGCTTCTGTAAGACTATTATTTTGAAATGTTAGTCAAGCAGTTCATGGATCGTTAGGGGAGTTACTGGAGCTTTATTAGTTTCCTTTGATGTTGTCATATTTGCCTGAAAAATATGATCTGTGTAGCTCTGCATTGGTGTCTGTGAATTTAGAAAAGCAGACACTCTTTCTGGTATTTACTTGTTTGAACTGTTAAATACTCTTGCTTCTTCCATGAACTTATAGGATTGCCTCCAGGATCATGGTTGAGCTTGGCTGGAGCTGGATCTCATGGTTATTGCTGGGTCTGCATTTGGGTCTGAAGTTGGCAAGCTTGTTACCAAGGGCATGGATGGGTGTGATTTCTGCTAGGTCCCTGAGCATTCTCTCATTGGGTTGTTTGGCTGGTCCCTGGGAAGTCAGGACTTCCCTGAACTTCAGTAGAGTGGTACTGGAGTTTGGTCACAGGATGGCTTTAGGACCACAGTCAAGTTCAAGACATGAAGTTCTGTTGTCAGGGATGCCTACAGGTGTGGCTTTCACTGGGTCCCTGGGTAGAACCCTGGACAGGCAAGACTGCTTTGGACTACAGTAGAGTGTGACTGGATCTCAGTCACAGAACTGCTTCAGAAATAGAACTCAGGTCTGAGGCTGGTGGGCTTGCAACCAAGGGCATGGATGAGCATGAATTCCTCGGCAGAAAAGGCTGGTGGCAAGACAATGGACAAGTGGAGCTAGAGTTGAGTTTACAGGAGAATAAGGCAGCTTTCATTCTGTAGCTGGGATCATAGTCAGTGAGTCTTCTACCAGCGCATGTGCTTGTCTTCTCAAAGTGGCCCTCCTTGGTCTTGGGCTCCAATGCGGTTTCACAATCTCTAGATCTCAAAGCTCTCAGTTTTTGTTTGTAGATGGCTGCCAAAACTTTGTTTCTGTAGAGGGTGGAGACAAAGACTAGAGACCTCTTCTTCTACCATCTTGTTCATGTCACTCCCAACATGTGACATTCTCTTTGTGCCTGTGGGTGTGTATAAGTCTATCAATTCACACATATCAACTGGTTCTTTTTTTACCAAAGTTGAAAATATTAGAATAAAACATACTTGTTCAACAAATTATTTAGTAACATTAATACACAGCACTATGCTAGGTGCTGAGAATGATGGGAAGACACGGGAGGCAGCATTTCTGTGCTTAGGAAGCTCATGATATAGAAGGACCTTCAACAAGGCCAATGTACAAGAAATATCTATGTAACAAGATCTCAGTTAAACAATTGTCCAAGCAAAGTTACCAATGATCGTAAAAGTGGTTAAAAACTATATGCCAAGTAGCTGGTAATGACTTCATGAAACAGATAGACGGTAGGAGATGGAGGGGGCAGGGAAGAGGTGCAGCACAATGTGAGAAAAAAAGACCCCATAGTTGGAAGCTGCATGGAATACTCCAGAAATAGGAAGCACATCCTTGTGTGGCACCAAAACAAAGGAGCAGGATAGGGTAATGGCCAGGAACATGTGCTTTGGGGTCAAACAGGATGGGTTCAAATAAATGGGTTAAAAACTCAATTCTGCCCTTAACAGCTACTTAAACAGTTCCTGGTCTGTAAAATGGGGATAATCATAGAACTTTCCTCATAGGAATAGTTAAGAAGATTACATGAAATAATGTATGTGAATATCTACCACAGAGAATACACTCAGAAAAATATTAGCTACTTACAAAACAATACAAATCCATGGTGCCAAGATATTTAGAAAATGGCAAATAATCCATTGCTCTGATTATAACACTTAGGTTTGGATTATTTCTCATCATCCCCATGTGGACAGAGATAATATCCCTTTTGCTCACTGCTGGATTTCCATTGTCTTGTCCAGTTCCTAGATACAGTTGGCATTCCACAAATTTCTGTTGAATGAATGAATCTAATCTGTCCCTCATCTGGAATGTGTAATCAGTTTACAAACTAGTCAATTTTGCCTCCTCTGCCTCTCCAATACCCCTTTCTCAAACCCGTATTCTCCCAAGTAGAGATACTTACTAACTTAGTACTTTAATTAATTCATTACTCAATAAATGTTTATGAAATGTCTCTTATAAGCCAGGCACTGTTATAAATTCTGCGTGATATTTGGTGAACATGAGAAGTCCCTGCTTTCACATAGCTTCTATTCTAGAGAAGGGAAAGTAAACAAACAAAGTAAACAAGCAAATAAGATAATTTCAGATAAACATTCTGAAGAAAATTAAATATCATCATCTCTTGCTCTGCCTTCCCTCCAGTCCTTCTGTTTTACATCTGCCAGAGTGCTCCAATAAGTTACAACTTTTAATCTTGTCACTTTCCTACTTGAAACGTTTCCATGTCTCTCTGTTACTTTTATGATGAAACCATAGCTACATACCATCCATAACTTAGGCCCTGCCTATCTGTCTAATTTGATTTCCCCTAAACTCTCTACCTTCCAGAACCACTCCTGCATTCAACTTCTAAACACCAGTGCTATTTCTTCACATCTGTGCCCTTTCTGTCTTAATTACACCCCCCATCAGCTCTTGCCACACACAAACACCTTTGCCCAGCTGACTCCTATGTTCTCATTCAGTCTTCTCAAGCATCACTTCCTTCAGGTATCTTTCATGGTCCACCCACCCTCTTTGCCACACACTGACTCACATACACAGACCCTGCATACTGGGATGGGTGACCCTTCTGCCTTCAAGATGCCCATGTGTATTTCTGTTACTGCACTTATACCCTGTATTATAATTATATTATTTTGCTTAGGGTTTCTGTTTATCCCACCAATCAACTTCTTTTATCAGATACCATTTTTTATTCATCTTTTTTATTCACGCTTTAGTCCAAGCACAATGACCAGTATAATAGACATTTGACAAATGACTATTACATTAAAAAATAAATTTTAATGAAAGAAATAATAAATGAATGAAAAAAAAAACAAGCTTTCCCTTTGAAAAGCCAAAGATTCCTTGCTCTGTGCTCATCTCTGGCTCTTTATATTTTTACAGCTCCTGTCAGTGGACAATTTGGTGAGTTCTCCTTTCTTATGTACTTCAGTGTCCCTGGATAAGAGTGTCTCCCTAATAAATATGAAATATTTGTGATGATTGCCTGAGGATCTCTAATATCTCCAGTTTCTCTTGCTGAGGTCGGCAAAGATGTGAAAGTGTCACCTGGTCTATTGGCATTGCCTAAGAGCCAGGATAGCCATGTGGTCATCCTCTGACCCTCCCTGGAAGAAGCAGCAAATGTACAAGCAACTCCTGGCCTTCACTAGGTCCTGCACTTACTCCTATTGCAAATGGACCCCAGATAACAAGGCAGGACATCTTAACTCCATATCAAATGCACAGGACTTGGGATAAGACGTTTTCCAATCAACAAGCCTGCAAAACTTCTCTGAAAACATCACACTGTGCAGATACCAGTGGGAATGTTGCCTTCTCTGAAGTTTTAGGAGTAAAATCCTCCAGGAAATGTGTGGGGAGCATAAGAACATCCAACAAATGGTCCCTTAAAAGAAAGAAATACACAAAAAGAGGAGATTGAGGGAGGAGACAAATTGTCTGTATCCCACATTTTTTTTAAGTTCTAACACTTAATTGCCAATCTTTTGGGTCAGAGTATTTTGGCTATTTGAGGACTCATAAATAGCAAGAACTCACTACCACCTCTCTCCTGTCCAAAATCAGCTGCCCAGTGTTTCATCCTTAATTAGATCACCTCTGGATTCTAGCTAACAACTTGTCCATTCTTTGCTCTACCACAATTAGCTATGATGGGATTTTTCTGGGCATTTCCTGGACATGATCTATAAGATGAAGGTGTTAGACAAGTTAATCTCTCAAGCTTTTTCCAGTGCCAAAATCTTAATATGATTTATCCTTTTTTGGAAAGTGCAAAATTGTGATTTTAACAACTCCCTGGGAAGTTCTTATGAGTTTATGAACATGATGAAGTGGCAGGGGCAGGGGATGACATTTCCCAGGATCCAATTCCATAACAGACTAACCTACCATTTTTTTCCCATTGACATTTGGCAGTGAACCTTTCCTGGTATCACCCTCTTGAAATCATTTTGCTCATTGTCATCCCCTCAGCAATCACTTTATGCTGGGTGAGTGCTTTGGTTGAAACACAGACTTGAGCAATCAGTGACCTTCCCAGGGGGGTTTCTTAGGGATTCTCCAAAGCCAGGACCTCCAGTCTGGGCCTCACAAACCACTGTGATGGGGACTGCAGGCCACTCCACCTCAGATTCTTTCTCTTTCATCCACAGCAGTTTTCCTCCATTCTCCATGGACCACTGTCTTCCAAGGAGAGAATGTGACACTGACTTGCAAAGCATTTCACTTGGATGCATCAGAGGAAATAAAATGGTACCGTTGGTATCTTCTGGAAAAAACACAAAGTGAAACCTCAGGAAACACCCATGAGGTCCATGAATCTGGAGATTACAGATGCCAGGCCCAGGACTCACCCCTGAGTAATCGTGTGGGCTTGCTCTTTTCTCCAGGTGGGAAAGAAATGAAAGAAAAAAGTTTAGTAATAATAAAGTTACCCAGAACTCAGCTAGATTTACTAATTCAAAAGCTATAGAAATAGGGCCCAGGAATTTATATATTTTACAAGCTGCTCAGGAAAAAGGAAATTTGAGAAGCAATTTATCTGAATGGTTTCTGAAACTATGTATAGTTTGAGGCTTATAAAATTTATTAGGAATAATAATTTACATGAGGATTTGTTAATATTTGACAGATAGATAGATAGTTATATAGATAGACAGAAATTTCCATTTCTGTCCTAAAGCCACCTGTTTTGAGTTGAAGCAGTATCTTTCTAGTTATAATGCTCTTTAATTTAGTGAACAAGGAAGCAGTATAGTAGCAAAGAGCTAAGAGCTTCTTTGACCTGACAATTCCCCTCTTAAGAATTTACCTACTGAAATAATCATAGATATATACAACCAAAATTGAAGAACATTAAATGGTCAAGAAAAGAAAACTCATTAAATGAATTACCTTACTGCCATTGTAGGAAAACTTTGTGGTCATTGAAAACCAGATTAGGGAATGATATTGATGACATAGGAAAGTGTTCATAGCAAAGTAAGTGAAAAGCAAGTTATCAAGTAGATAAATATTTTAATTCATAAAAAGAAAAGAAATACACACAGACTCTCATATACATGTACATAGAAAAAAGAACTTGAAAAAATCTGGGTGGTGTGATGATAAGATTAATTTACATTTCCGTTTACAAAATTTTCTCAAACATATGTGTTCCTTTTAAAACCAGAAAAAAAGAGGGATTTCCCAGGTGGTCCAGTGGTTTGGACTCTGCACTTACACTTCAGGGGCACGGGTTTGATCTCTGGCTGGGGAACTAAGATCCCGCAAGCCGCGCATCATGGCCAAAAAATAAAATATAAAATAGATAGATAGATCGATAAGACCAGAAAAAAAGAAATGATAATTATTTTAAGAATCCTTTTTCCTAGTCCCTCTCTTATAAAATCTATTGGAATAATAATGAAAAGAAGGGAGAAACAATCAGATGAAACAAACAACTGCCCATGTGTTTCCTACAGCCAACCTGATCCTGCAGGCTCCACTTGATGTGTTTGAAGAAGAATCTGTAATTCTGAGATGCCGAGCAAAGGCAAACACAGTACTGAAAACTATAAAGCTGTACAAGAATGAAAAAGTCCTGGAAGATCACACTGTGGAGATACCAGTGGGAATGTTGACTGACTTCCATATTCATCAGGCAAGTCTGAAGGACAACGGCAAATATCACTGTACTGGAGTTAAGGAAGATGATCAGTTGGTTTCTTCAAACTCGGTCAAAATCGAAGTCCAAGGTAAAGCCTTCATTATTTTGTGAAATAGGTTAGTCTAAAGGAGGACCCCTGAGATCGTAGAGGATAAAGAGGGTGGACTGTAATACCATTGAACCTCAGGGCACAGTCCTACAAGGAACAGAGAAAGTACTACTGTGCTTTGGGCTGAAGGATATTAGTAATCAAAGGTGGCATCTCTTCTGCCTGCTTTTGTATGTTCTGCTTGCTCGTGCTGAGGATGAACTGTGTTTTTCTCCAGAGCAGTTACAAGCCTCACTGCTCCAGGGACTGTTTTGATTCTTCTCTCTAGAGCTGTTTCCACGTCCTGTGCTGAGAGCCAGCTCCACCCAGCCCACTGAAGGAGGAGCAGTGACTCTGACCTGTGAGACCCAGCTCTCTCCACAGAGGCCAGATGTCCAGCTCCAGTTTCACTTCTTCAGAGACAGAAGGTCCCTGGGGTCAGGCTGGGGAAGCTCTCCAGAATTCTGGATCCGCACCATATGGAGAGAAAACTCAGGGTCTTACTGGTGCCAGGCACAGAGCATGAATCCCTCTGTCCAGAAACAGAGCCAGAGATTACAGATACAGGTGAAAAGTAAGTGTTAGTGAGGTGAGACTTGCTAAGACTGGGGCTGGGAAGAGCCGGGCAGAGTGGCACAACAGTTGTTTATTTTTTTCTTTCAATCCCATGAGATACAACTCTTTCTTTTTCTTCTGAAGTTTCTCTTCCTTGACACCATTTTTTTTTCCTGGTAGGCCTATAGGCATAAGCCATGGGCTGTGGCAGAGCCCTCCGACTGGGCTGGATGGACTCTGCTCAGCCAGATGGACAGATTCCTAGAATGCTAGATCCCTGGAGCAGAGCACTTAAGAATAAAAAAACAAAGGACAGGAGATTGGGGAGTAAATAGTTTCAACTTGCTGTCTTTAAGGATGGTGTTTTATCCACGATTACTTTTCCCTACGTCTCTGAAACTGTGTAGGTCCTCATGCATGACTGCTAACCAATTGTCAAATGCCTCTTCTGATTAAATTTGACCCATCTCATAGGAGACGTGTTTGAGCATTAGGAAAGATGCAGATCTGGGGTGCATGCTTTCCTGAATGAGGAAGGGGTGAAAGTGGTAGCATTCTCCATAAATTCACTCCCATTCCTAAGCAAAAAAGAAGGTTCTATGTTTCTTCTACACTATCCAGAATTTATTAATCTTTGTTCTCCAGTCACAGTCAACAGGTTTTCCTTAGGTCCCTGGTTTGGACTGGAAAATTGAAAGGAAGTGGAGAGGGTGTTACCCAACAGTTGCAAAATAGTAATTTCTAGCATAGGATCTCCCCTAGCATAATTGATGGAACCCCAGTCTCAAACCCTACTCCCTCTCTGTTCCCAGGTATCTTCCCTTGTTCTTCAAGCCCCCAGGATGACTCAGAAAGGCACTGCCCTAAGCCAACATCCTAGTGTAAAACCACAACCACCTGGAGTATAGAACACTTTCATCACAGATTTTCCCAGTTTTAGGAGGACTGTTATGTGTCCACATCTCTGATCATCTAACTGACTGGCAGAGGTGTTAAGAAGTGCTTATTCCAGGGCAAGCTTTCTGTATATGCCAATGATTGATTTCCAGCTAGCCATTGCAGTTGTCACAGCTTCAGAACAAGCACCTCTGATGGCAGGTCTTCCTGTCCCCTTCACCATCCACCACTTCCCCCACAAGCAACACCACTGTTGGGCACCGGGTGTAATTTCTAGAATGATTAGTCCATGTTCTAACAGGTAGGGCATGAGGGGAGGGTGGGCAGGGTTGCCTCTTTTTCTTGTGCCAGATGCTCCACCATTTCATTAGGGAGTTGAAGTTCTCCCAAACCATGGATGGACCACAGTCGCTCTACCACTTTCTCCCTCGTCCCAAGGAACAAGCCCAATTCTACTCCAGGCCAACTTCCCATCGGGTCAGCAGACTTAGCCCTTCCCATTCTGAGACTCTTCTTCTATGACTCATTCTGTGACACCCCAATACCAAGAATCCCACATGTCATTTTTATTCATTTAGAAGTTGTTCCTGACATCCGTATATACCCTCACCCAGAGTTGGTGTTTGAAGGGCAGGAGCTGGTGCTCATCTGCTCAGTAAATGGAGTTCCAGGCCCCATCACAGTTTCTTGGTACAGTAAATTCAAGCTGAGGAGAGAAAGAAAGCTTCACACTTCCTCAAAAACAGAGTTCAAGATCCCTGTGGTGCAAAACATACATGATGGAGAGTATTATTGTGTTGCCAACAATAGTCATTCCTCCTTCCGCAGTGACCCAGTGACCATCAATGTGAAAGGTATGTCTGCCAGATATTGTCTGAGGGATGGCTTTTCAAACTTCGTGAAAACCACAAGGTGGTTGAGTGGGAGTGAATGTTGATAGTTGCCAATAATTTACTACTCTGAATAATCTACCAGAAGTTAGAGACTAACAGGAGTGGGATTTAGGGATAGAAGGAGTTATGGGAGCTTTTGGAAACTCCTAGAAATGGAGGTCAGAGAAAGTACTCAGTGATTGGCATATGTCTGGACTCTTCATATTTACAAATTACTTTTTAGCTTAAATGCAGTGGCTCCTGGGATAAAGCCAGAACAAACAGAATTTTAGAACTGGAACAATCTGGGACCATGTGTCTTCATAAGCCTCATTGATTTAAGGATGTGCAGGGATTCCCTCCCTCCCACTACCTCGTTGTCTCTTTTAGTTCCAAATGACACATCTTTTCACCACCCTCAGGGCTCCTAGGGCACAGGATATTGGGAAGAATGAGATAGAGTTCCAGATCTTCCCTGTGAAACCAAGGGAGCCTCTCTTTCAATTCTGTATCAGTTTTATCATGAGGCTGAAATCCTGAGGACCCCAGACCCCTATAGTAGAGGAACATCCCTAAATCTCTCTGCCCACAGAACATTCTGGGAATGACTCCTGTACTCAGACAATGACCTGGGGACCCAGGCAGTGAGGAGAGGCCACTCTCCATCAGAAGTGAGTTAAGTCTGACCACCAGAAGTCACAGGATCAGGTTGTTTGTTACCCCACAATCTAAAGACTGCAGCTTCAGAAATTCACAGGCTTTTGGTTCACATGGCACCACGGCAGGTTCATTGCCTCTGCTTGGCAGATCTGAGCTCCTTCCTGTGACCACACTCTCAGGAATTCCTTACAGTGAATCATCAACAGTAAAATACACAGTCTGACCAAAACTCTCCTAACACAGCTGTGAAAATTTTTCAGGGTCCAGATGCTGTCAGAGTTCACCATTATTTGGTTTAGATGATATGCAGTCTTTGATTTTTCTGTCAATCAAAAAAAAAAAAATAGTCCAGCGATTCCTGGGTCTAATCTTCCTGTTACTGAATCCCAACAAATCTCTACTCCCTTACCTACTTCCTGCTTCTTCCCCAATTCATCTATATTAGTTTGCTCAGGCTGCCATAACATAATACCACAGACTGGGTGGTTTAACAACAGAAATTTATTTTCTCACAGTTCTGGAGGTTAAAAGTCCAAGATCAGGTGCCAGTAAGATTGGTATTTAATCAGGGCTCTCTTTCTGGCTTGTGGTAGGCCACCTTATCTCTGTGTCCTCACATGACCTTTCCTCTGTGCCTGGGAGAGAGAGAGGCCTCTCTCTTCCTCTTCTATGAGGACACCAGTCCCATCTGATTAGGGCCCCACCCTTATGACCTCATTTGACATTTATTTCCTTAAAGGCCCTATCTCCAAATACAGTCATATTGGAGATTAGGGCTTCAACATATGTATTTGGAAGAGACACAGTTCAGTCCATAACACCATTCTAATATCCCCATTGGTTCCCAGGCCTTTGAACAACTGTCTCTATCTTGTGGGCCTCATCTTTCAACAAGTTCAGATACCATCACACCCCTTAATATGTCTGCAACATCTGTCTCTCTCCCCCTCCTTGGTCCCTGGCATCTACAGAATTCACTGTTTTTCTCTTTTCTTTCTTTATCCTTCAAATCCCCAGATGCTTGAGTTTCCAATCAATCTTAATAGTTCTCAAATCATTTCTCTATCCCAGAGTTGTGGAGATATCTGTTGTTCCAATCAACAATTAATTATTGGCAATAACCAATGTACAAATCCATGTAGGATACAGACAGGTAGCAACATCACAGTTACTCCAACCATATAACTATGGTTACTGCACCACCCCAAACTACACCACCTACTTTACCAGTATCTGATGCCATCTTACACTGAAAGCTATTAAGGTAGTTGTGGTAGTGAGAGGAAAATAGCTTCTGTAGAGCCCTATGCTGTTTCCTTCATTGGTGGCAAACTCCAGTTCCACTTTCAAGGAGATGATATGATTCAGTATTAGACCGTGAGTAAGGAGACAGACCCAGGTCCTATCTGGCCCTGAAAACAGCCCGCTGAGGGACTACAGGTGGATCTCCTAACCTTTTCCTGACTCAGTTTTCTCACCTGTAAATAGAGAGGGTCAGGCTGGATGCAGGGAGAGTGTAGGAACAGAGGAGAGCATCCTGGAAGAGTATGTGAATCTGGAACAGAAATGGGCCAAGGGCAGAGGCCTGAGGCCAATCCCAGCAAAGGGAGAAGTGTAGAGCAGGGACTGATAAGAAGACTCAGAGAGGCTTGGCAGGTGAGGGAACAGATCTTCCATGGTCATATGGCAAAGGGAAGGGACAAGGTAAATCTGTCAGTCTGGTGGAAGCAAAATAAGGGACTTCTTCCCAGAGAACATCATTTCCTCTGGAAAACAAGAATGAGGGTTACCTAACAAAGGGAGACAGGAGAAGAGAAGGGCCAGGTCTGATGGGAAAGGAGAAGACCAGCATGGAAAACAGGAGAGAGCTGGAGAGAAAAGCCTGGGAGGCACTGGGCTGCCCTGAGGGCCAGTGGACTTCAGACTGGACATCTCACTAGCCACTGATTGAAAGCTCCAAGAAGTGTCAGATGCACCTGTTTGACTAAGTGTTTCTTTCCCTCAGTCCCCGTGTCTCAACCTGTCCTCACCCTCAGCCCTCCTGGGACCCGGACTTTTATGGGAGATGAGGTGAGCTTTGACTGTGAAGCTCAGAGAGGTTCTCTGCCCATCTGGTATCAGTTTTTTCATGAAGGTGTGCTGCTCATGAAGATAGAAGCTACTTTATGGAGAACAATGTCCTATAGATTCTTTCTGACTGAAGAGCATTCTGGGAACTACTACTGCACAGCTGACAATGGCCTTGGCCTCCAGAGCAGTGAGACCCTGAGACTCTCTGTCACCAGTAAGCTCTGGATTCCTGTCAGTGACCCATCCCTGACCCTCTCACACCAACCTTTTCAGAGGTCTGCATGGATCTTCCAGTTTCCTACCCCAGTCAACCTCATGCCTGTCTTGGTTCCCTTCTTATAGAACCAGCTATCTGTGGGCCTTAATCTCACCCATCCCTGGCTCAGCCACACCCCTATGATAGCTCAGCACCTTCCCCAGCTTTTACCAAATGAGTTTGTTTTCTCAAATTATCTTCTCAGGCCCTGTATATTCAGTCTCCAAGCCAATTTCTCTTAACTCCATGCACAGAAGCATCTCATATTTCCCCAATAACATTTACATATTAATTTAGCTACAAGCACAGTCATATGGGCATATAGTGGGCAAGACCTTACTTTCTCCAAAGTGTTCTCAAGCAATTCAAGCTCTTCCAGTAGGTTTAAAGAGGGCTGAAGGTGAAGGGAAGGGAGGAAATTGCTTCCTGGAAACCAGCTCATTTGTTTTCTGGGGTTTCCGTGATCCTTTGACTTAACCCAGTAAAATAAGTGTCATTTCATTGTATTATGTTTTTAAATTTTTTGTTGCAGTATGACATACATTTATAAAGGTATACGAACCATAGTTGTACAGATCATGGTTTCCCATGGAACCATGAAAAAGTGTCATTTTAGGAGCAAATTTGCTTCTGTTTACACTTGGAATCTTTGTTTAGTAGAGAGTGAAAGTTCAGTTTTCTTTTCAGAGAAGAGAAATATAAATAGAAAAATCTTGAATCTGGTATATCAGATCATTTTAGGTCAGAAGAAAAAAACCCTGATGTCTCCAGTGGGTGAGGGTTTGTTAAGGATATCCAGGGATTAAAAAACAACAACAAAACAAAAAACAGGAAAGACATTATATTCAGATTCATGGAATAAGAACTGGGAGATCTCTCAGAATTCAACTTATTTCTCAAAAACAGATTATACTGATGTCTGAGGATCTAGAAGCTTTCATTATTCTCTACTCCTAAGCCCATCAGCTATTTCCTTTCTATGTCCTTCTGACCCATTGTTCCTACTGCTCCTAAGTGCTTTCCACCCTCATTCTTATGACTCTATCTTATAACTTATCTTTACTCAAAACTCCTGTTAATTTCAGCATTGACTGCCTTGGACTTCTAGGTATGACATCCTGCTCTGTATTTCAACGTCTGCCCCAACTGCCAAAGCGGTGCTTCCAACTAGTCTAACTAGTCAAGCAGCCTAGCTCTAAGACACCTCATAGGCCACTGGCAAGTCTATACATAGAATGTTCTTAAACCAACTGCTCACCTCTAATTCAACAAATGATGGCCAAGAGAGCAGGGTCACTTGGGACAACGTGACATGTAATGAACTACATTTAAGAAAATACTTTTTCTAGGAACGATATGCACAGCAGGACCTCTGAGGTTTCCTAGAAAGAGCCAGTGTACATGAAAAAGACCTTGCTCGGGTTGTCTGATGTCAGCGTGGGTCAGAAAATCTGAATTCTAGCCCTGGATATGAAAATAGCTAGCTCATAATTTGGGCAAAACTTTTAAATTTTCTTTGTCTTGCTGTTTTCACCTTCTATTGAAAGTTAGATAAGACAGTAATCAGCGTCCCTTAGAGCCCCAGAATTCTGTGATTCAAGTTGGAATAGGAACCCAGAGGCCATGAATTCATGAAGCTCTGGAAGAAACAGAGTGAGAGAGAGGCTGAGCGACACTCGTCAAAGCCCCAGACAAGACAACCAGGGAAATCTGTGGGTGCCCCAGAGCTGGGCTTGTTTACCTGGCAAAGCAAGGGAGAGCATCAGTTTCACAGAGTCTCATCAACTCTCACAGCAGGGAGTTAGGTGAGGCACTTTTAGGGCTTTGGGAGCAGGAATTGGTCAGAGTGTGATTGTAACTGCAAGTGTGGTCTGGTCAGAATTTGTAAATTAGGCAAGTTTCTGTTATAGTCTGTGGTCTTAGGAACCCATGAGTCCACTTGGAGTTCTTATTACTATGGTCCTATCTTGGAACATATGGATCTGAAGGACCTCTTGCTCCTCGATAGCTGTTTCAGATCATAGAAATAAAACATGGCCAAAGGAAGACATTATCCCAATATAAATTGTTGAGTAAAGAGATTATTTTAAAAATGTAAATGATCTGGGGCCCAGACTCCAAAGCCTGAAGCCAATCTACCTAGGAAAGCCCCAAGCCCTAAGACATCCTCTTTCTCATTATGATGTTGTATTTTCTTCTCAAATTTAGCAATATCTGAAACCCCTTTATTTCCCATTTAGTGTCTGTCTTCCTCAATACCAGAGTATAAGCTTCATGAGAATGGAACCTTATCAGTTTTGGTCTGCACCTCATCCCTGTGCCTACTTGGTGTCTGGCATAGAGTAGGTCCTCAGTCAGCATTTGTAACTCCATGAACAAAAAGTCTTTGAGATGAGATGAGGAAAAAAAGAGCGAGAGGGAGAAAACATTGATCTTTGCAACTGTTTATATCAACTGAACAGAAGTAAATGAGCCCTAAATTAGCAAACAAGTTGAGAAGCTTCACTGTGAGCCATGCAGACTTTCTGGCAGAATAATCTGGGTTGTTTTTTTTTCCCCAAGGGAATATACCCCAAAGAGAAGACACAGAAATTTCTTGGGAATGTGAGCTAATAAGATATACCCATTTTGAATCTATCAACAGCCCTGGGTCGCTAAAACACTACCCGCCCCCCATACACACACACAGCTTTCTCAAGCAAATACAAAACTCAGAATATAATTTTATTCATTGAAGTAAAAGCCATAAAGAAAACAAGTCCAATATGAGAATCTTATATGTATAGCTGATTCACTTTGTTATAAAGCAGATACTAACACACCATTGTAAAGCAATTATACTCCAATAAAGATGTTAAGAAAAAAAGAGAGATGATAACAGAAAAGAAAAAAAAAAAATATATATATATATAACAGAGCTCAGGAGAAAAACCAAACCTATGTTAAAAATAAAATCCAAATTTGAAGCACTAGGAAGAGAATGCATACTTCCAAAATCTGTTACTGGAATGGAGAATTGGTTTGAGAAAATAATACAGAATACAAAGTAGAAAGACACAGAAAAAGGCAAAAAGAAAGTAAAATATGGAGATCAGACAACGAAGCCCACAAGTGTGGATAATTAAGTGTCTAAAGAGAGAAACAAAACTCAAAGACATAATAAAAAAGTTTCCTGAAGTGAAGAAAACTTGAATATGTAGATCAAAAGACATATCCTGATGAGGTTATTGACTTTCAAGGCTAAAAATATACGTGTGTGTGTGTGTGCATGCGCCCACGTGTGTGTGATCACAGTAAAAAAAAAAAGAAAAAATAGCAGTCATCTCAAAAAGAAAAAATATGCAGTTGGTCTTTACACAGAAGTCAATGCTAAAAGAGAGAGGAATTGTATTCAGACTTGAACTTTCAGAGGAGAAATGAGAACTGAGAATTTTATATCAAATCAAAAAAACATTTTCAAACGTGCAAGAATTCAGGGAACTTAGTACCCATTAAAGCTTCTTGAAAAATTACTTGATGACAAACTCTAGCCAGCCAAGGTATGAATCAATATAAAAGACTCCAAATGAGGAAACTATGATATGAAAAGTGAATACTGAATCTATTCAGATCAGTAGTTCTCAGCCTTGGCTGCATATTAGAATCACCTAGGAATTTTGAAAAAAGACTTTTTACTAAGCTCTCTCCAGACTAATCAAATTCAGAATCTCTCAGATGGGGTCTCAGAATCCATATTTTTTAACACATCCTCAGTTGAAAATATTGTACAGATATGGTTGAAAACCACTGATTCAGACAGAAAAACAAAGGCTAAGCAACATGAAAGTTATGGTTACAGAAGAGAAAGCAACTATTATAAATGCTGAAAATGTAAAAAATATATGTAACAAAGGAAAATCAGCCAGAGGGAGAAGAGGAAATTAAAAAAACCAATTTTCTCATGATTATTATTATTTCATAATGGAGAACAAAAATTGACTTGATAATTTATAAAAATTAATGACAGATTTCAAAGTTTTCATTTTGTAAATAATTTCTGGTTACTTTATAGAGAACAACTCATCATTAATGGATTATAGTTCACTAGCAGTCCATAAAAAATCAAATAATAAATTGTAAGGTCCCATAGGATAGAATAAGTCAATTCTTCAGATGGAACAACTGTAGAGTTTAAAACTAGGAAAAGAGAAATGATAAGAAAAATAAGCCTGTGCATTTATATGACTATAATTGATCAGAGGGTGGGGAAAGGAAACTCTTACATACTATTAGTGCAAGTGTAAATTCATTGAAACTTTTTGAAGAAAAATTTAGCATTATATATCATTATTTGAAATGCCCATATCCCAATCCCAGAAATCCCACTTCGAAGAATTTATCCTAAGAAATGCATTGACAAAATACAATGATATATATACAGAATTGTGTAATGCAGCCTTATTCAAACTTAGAAAACAATAACAACCTAAAGTTCCATAATGAGGAATTGCTTCAGTGTATTACAGTAAATTCATACCATGGAATGCTTTGCTGTTGTTAAAAATAATCAAGCAATATTTACCCTAAATTATCAAATTTTAAATTTAGAGGAGTTGCATTTTATGCATGTAAATTATACCTCAATAAAGCTGATTTTTTAAGTGACTGAGATAGATCTTTAGGTAATAACACAGAATGATGCTCATGATATTTTGCTAAGGGGAAAAATCAGGTCATAGACCAGTATGTATACTCTGATCCTAGGCATGTATGTGGGTATTTTATGTATTTGTTTATGTGTTGATAAGAATAAGAGTTCTTACACATAGAAAAGATCTAGAAAATGTCACCAAATAATCGTCAGAGGTAACTTCTGAAAAATAAAAATAGAGTCAATGGGAAAAGATCCTGGTATCAACTAACTCATTTTTGCTCTCAGTTCCAGTATCTCGCCCCATCCTCACCCTCAGGACTCCCAGGGCCCAGGCTGTGGTGGGGGACATGGTAGAGCTTCACTGTAAGGCATGGAGAGGCTCTCCCCCAATCCTGTACCAGTTTTATCATGAGGATGCCAGCCTGGAGAGCAGCTCAAGCACCTCTGGAAGGGGAGCTTCCTTCAACCTCCTTCTGACGGCAGAGCATTCTGGGAACTATTTCTGTGAGGCCAACAATGGCCAGGGGTTCCAGCGCAGTAACACAGTGTCACTCAGTGTCAGAGGTAAGTGGACCCAACTACAGCACAGCCAGGGACAGACCATCTCCCCCACCTTCACCTGTAGCCGAGATTGGAGGTACCACAGGGCCATTTGCTGTGTGACATCACTGCTACACAGCCTCCAACTGAGAGTTCTGTATTCTACATTTTCAGGAACTCGCACCTTCCCTTTGCTTGCTTTGCCTCTCTTGGTAGCAGCGGTGCAAGGCATTGTGACTAAAAGTTTCCTAACGTAGGAATAAAGGCTTTTAAAACACAAATTGCATCCTGGCCAACAATGATCAGTAAGAAAGGAAATTATAAAGTTCAACATGTCTCACCTCAGAAGAGATTTAGTTGGGGTTTCCTCTGTCAGTCAATCAATAAAAAGGCCAACTCATCCTTTCACTGGCTCATGAATTTCTCTCTAGCTTCTCCTGCCCCTGTCCCAGAGCATCTCAGACCTCCAGCCAGAACTCCTGCTAAAAGACCTTTCAACATCATTCTCCTGACATCTTAC